CTATCAGCGGAAGGAGAAAGACCCCCTCCCCCTATAATTAGATGATCATATCCATTGGAAGTATAATTACATCGGGCAAGGTAGAGTTCACTCGGTTTGATGGGGGGATTTTGTTAGATCGCGAGCACCGGTGGATTTTCCACCGTGATGCGGGGATTATTCCCGGATCATTTGAGTCCCGATCCAATTCAGCGGATGAAACTTTTTCTAATAATCCCTCTGTGGGAATTAATTTAGATATATATATATATAGTTTTGTATTGGTTGTGATTGGCGCGCTATCGTAACATCGACAACTGTTGTAACAATTGCCCTAGAGGAAAAACCAGAATAAGTGTCCAATCTGGGACTGTGCCGTGTCACATTGATGGGCATTTTGAACAATTCTGGCTACATCTGTGGTGATTATCTCAGAGAACGGCATTACCCAAACTTCTTATAGTAATATAGGCTAGCTTTAAGCATAACTCTTGTTCATTCGAAAGCTTTAAAACATATAATGCGTTCAAAATTTAGCTCAGAGTTCTCGTGTCTGCATTCTGAAAAAAAAATACACTACTGTTTGCACGCAACTTAAAAGTGTACATTTTTGTTGGTTATAGTTTGTTGGTCGAGAAACAAGGTTTAAATATACGTGGACGTTTGATATGGATCATTATCATTTTCAAAGAAATTATCAGTTTAAGTACAGCATCTGGGGAATAATAGGCTATTTACATGATGTGTTATATGGATGGGGTCATTACAATAAAAGTCAGATCGCAAACAAGACGACAAATCTCGGCTAGACGCTTCACAATTGATACTGCAGGCTTCTAGTTTAAACCATGCACCCAGATCCATAGCACACATAATAAAGGTACACTCTAAAAAAACTCCTGGGTCAGATTGACCTGGAATCTGAATCCAAATATGCCCAGCCCCTTTCCGGGTCAAAAATGACACTTTTTCTGGGACAATGATGACCTAGAAACACTTCATTTTTGACCGCAAAAGGGTTCATTTTTTGACCAGGGAAGGGACTGGGCAAATTTGGAGTCAGATTCCGGGTCAATCTGACCTAGGAGTTTTTAGAGTGTACACCAGTTTTTTTGCATCAGGTACACTAGCTGTAATTGAGATATATAGGTAAAGCTGGCAAAATGAAGTATCAGCTAATACGTCTGTACTTCAGGAAATAAATGTTCACGCCCCAGCTACAGCAATGGTCCCAATTATAGTTCGGACAGTCCCAACTTGGGACGATCCCCGCTACATTGCTGGGACGATCCCAACTGAATAGTTGGGACGGTCCCAACTACAGCAGGGACGATGCTATAGTTTGGGCGTAACATAATCACCGTAATAGTGCTTACTTCGCTGAACGATGACCTCGATGAGGCAAAAGAAAAACCAAAAGAGTGAGAGTTCCTTTAGACAAACCGCACAAAAAGAGGATGATTCAGCGTGTTACGGCGAGGTAGGAGTTAACCAGGTAATCGGCGCATTACGGCTCAATTGTGAACTCTCTTTGTCGGTAATACCTTAATGCTCATCGCCCGTATCACCCCCACCCAAGACAAAAATGATGGAGACTTGGCAGATCCCCCCTCCATAACCCCCCCCCCCCCCCATCCTCCCCCCCCCCCCCCCCCCAACCGCCAGCTGAACACACCACCCCACGTCACAGACTAAACCAACCCCTTCAAGTCACTCAGTATTTCAATAATAGTCCCGGGCTTCGGCGCGGGGCAACACCCTTCCTCCCATGCAAATTGACGGCCGCGATAAGACAGCGCATTGCCCGTGCAAGATTTCGGTGGGCCGCGCGCATGCACTAGTCCGCGCGGTCACCTTTTGGCTGGGGTTTAGAAAACTTTATTCGCGGTCTTCCTGTTGCAGTAATGACTTGATTGGATAAGGGAGAAGGGGGAATATATATCTCTTGATCCACTTCTGGGCTGAGGAGCCTTGGAGATACGCTACGGTATAGGGGCCGTCGAAAGGGGCTATTTAGGTTATGGGTCTTTGTTCTCAGCAAGGTACTATGTTGTTTATCCACGAATTCACTTTTTAAAGTATGTTTCATCATGTGAAACTGTAGTGAACATGCTGACAGAATAAAAAAAGATACAGCCAATTCAGCTTCATGGGTTTCTCCTAAAAGAAGTAGTTTAGTCTCAAAGCAAGCATCGAAAATACCATACCTAAACCAAACCAAACCGAAGGTTTTATATCATACCTACAAATCCAGAGGTAATGACTTCAAATGGAGTCCTGAATATCTTCCATAGAATGTTGGAAACTCTCATGTGATCCATTGGAATATGTTTGGAACGATGAAAAATCGATGACAACTGAATGCAATTGATCGCATCCAGTTTGTCGGTACCATTATACATTCCTTATCACCTAAACTTGTATGGTTGACAAGGTCATGATCTGAAATTTAGATATACACCTTTGATTATATCCATTAATTTGGACCTACACCACAAACTACCAAGTACCCCAACCTTATTCACGGCTTCCTCACAGTTTCAGAAATACAACATTTTAAATGCTCCGAGTTTCGTGTGCCCATCACAGTACCAGAAACACCCAAACAAATACTAACATAATTACAGTAAGATTCCATCGGATTCCTTTCATTTAACTGGGAAGTTAAATCACTTGTCTCTTCATTACTCAGAAATATTTTTCTCAAGCATAACACGACAGCGCATTTTTGACTGCCACTCGACCAAAAGAGGGCGCTCACGAATGTCAACAGACAGTCACTGCTCTCATCAGGTAAACAAAACAAAGTACTGTATAATGTCCCCTTTTAGCAGCAACACAAAAGGTCAATCCAACTGAATTCAGTCTCTACAAATTTGCACCGGCTACAACAAAAATTGTAGTCTTTAATTTGATCACTCAAAACTTGAACCATCCAGACAGAATTCTTGATAAACACCAACGATTTCAAACAGAATACAGAAATGCCTTTGATAATACCAACCCACAGTTTGGACAAGTCCCGTAATCAAAAGCAGAGACACACACACAAAAAAACTTGTTCATATGTTATATGCCAATACCTCTTGGACAGAGGAAATTGCGTTGGAATGGTGTAAGCGACAAGCTATACTCTCTTCCTATACACACCGATCGTGGAAAGATAACATCTTGTATTCGTTTCAAATGCCTCCGGATTACTTCCGTGTTCGCGTGCATAGCATTGTGCCGAGCTTCCTTTATACTATCGGGTCAAAAAGTCCACAAGTTTTGCCGTTCACTGGAAACGAAGTTATACAGTTTAGTATAAGATTGGCTGTCTATGTTATTATCTGTTTTAATGTGGAGTTTGACACAGGTTAATCATAATAATCAAGTCACTTCATTTTAAATATTAGAGCTCAGGTATAAGAATTGCTAAGCAGAATCGGTCGCAGGTACGAAAGTAGTCATCAAACTTAACCAAAAATTTCAAGTAAAAAGAATGAAGAAAAAAATGCCACGATGTATCAATACCTTTGTGCTTCCTTTCCCAGAAAGAAGTACAAACAAAATAAGAGCACCGATTAATTAATTAATCAGGTGAAATACGAATGTTATGATTACTGATAACCTACGTAATATGAAGGATTAATGCATGGTTAACTATATTTTGATGATATAACTGAGACATTATTATATTGGTTACTGGCTCTTAAGTTATTTTTTCACCCCATAAAAATAGTGGAAAGTACTTCAGGGAATTAGTTATCTTAAATTCGAGACTATCGAAAAATGAGAAAAGGCTTTTTTATGGAACTGTACCTTAGAAATGTCTTCTTGTGAAGATAAAACAATAAATTCATATCATCGGGATTTGTAGTTGTATTAAAACAAATTAATACAAAACACAAACAAAAGACTTGTATACAAAAATACCAGGAAAAAGGTTTGAATTGGGACATAACACGGGCAGTCATTTAAAGAACAACGAGAAGCAGACTGCTATTGAGACTGGCTGTAACGTTTTGGAGGAAATCAAAGAATTAATCAGAACACAAGGCTAAAGAAGTATCTCAGTATTTGCGGACACATTACCGATTAAAACATTGATGACAGTCGTCGCAGTGAGTAAAATGTTCGCAACGGCAGTCCCGGGCTGGTGATTCAAACCTTCCCGCTCCGTCCGGAGATAATCGGATCGCTCGCATTCGGCTCAATCAACCGCTATACCACGCTTATATAACCGCCGAATTAGCACAAATTAAGTTACGCTGGGAGCAAGTCGCATATAATTTGCTACGGCAGTGATCATTAGGGTGCACAGGCGCCCGTATACTAAATACGCGCGTATATACACGGAGCGAAGCAAACAGCAAAGACGAAGAAGAGGGGGGAATATAAACATCCCAGGCCGGCTAAAGTGAATAATGAGAGAGACAAATTGGAGTGAATTTATGTCGTGGTTGGAAACTCTGAGGTCCTGATTAAGTCAACGGTATCAGCGGCTCCGTTAATGAGGAGGCATTATCTTCAATTGACACACGTGCTCCGGCTGGATTGCGCTGCCTGTCTTTTTTTAATTTCATTTGCGATTGAATCGTTAACATTGACACGTGAAGGGGAAATCAAAACTAACACTGTTTTCTTTTTAACAACATAATTTTATAGGCAATTTATCGGTTAATAACGACACACGACCACTTTTTTTCTTGAAACATAGAGGGGCAGACAGAAATAAAGATGTGATTTAACATCCGTATTAAATCTTTTCTAAATTCTCTGATGATAGTGATTTGAATCGTACTACAACATCAATAGATTTTTACGAATATCTGCTGTTTTACCTACTTTACAACTGAATATTTAAAGTTAAATACTCACTGCTCTTTTTATACATTTAATTGCTAAAGTTTTGTAATTTTCCCGTCTCGACTGAATATTTGTTTTTATGATACTTCTGCCTGCAAGATCAACTGTCAACCGTGTTGCACTTTTGTGTAAAGTATAAATGAAATGAAAACACGGGAGATTTTTCTAACCTGGTGAGGGCGACTCCCCGCTACCGTTTCTGCCTCTGGCCGTGCCATTACCGAGAATCCCGTCGATGGAGTGCGGCATACCGTAGCCAGGCCGGCAGGGCCCGCCGGCCAGCGCGCCGCCCAGCCCCGTCGTCTGCTGCGGGTGATGCATGCTGGTCTCATCGGACAAGCCGGCGAAGGAGGATTTGTGCAGTGTCGCCATATCCTCGGCGGTGTTAAAAATCATCATGTGTGCGGCGGGGTTCGGTGGAATGCACTCACTCCCAAGAATTCTCTGAGTTATCTTTTTTTATTTTTTTGTGATTGAAGAAATCAGGAAATGCGAGTATAACTGATTTCGGTGATGCACCAATCTTGGAAACAGTCTCTCAAAAAATCCTGCGTTGAGCAAACTCGGAGGAAAAAAAAATCTCAAGCGGGGTAGTGCATACGAGATGTGTGGGATGCGCTATGCAGCAGGCATCCCTCAAGACGGCACAGGTGTATCACAAACGCCTGGAATTAAAGCTGGACACACGCTGGGCTGGCTGGGTCCCGTAACCTGCTCGTATTAAACCTGACTTGTGCGAGGTATGCGAGGCACAGTGCGAGACGTGGTACGATGAGTCGCTAGCACAGGGAGACAGACCTAGTTCACTCGAAGCTAGGGCAACCGGTGCAACCTGGCCAGGAGAGGGCTGTCGGGTCTTGTTTAGTCCGCGGCTGACGCAAAACACTGAAGCTGATCTCCAAACCTGTCGGGGACTATAGGTCGTTATCGGGGCTCTGGATCGGTTTTCCAAAACTCGCTCAAAGCTTCCAACAAGCCGACCCAACACAGTGTGTATAAGGGGGCTGCATACGACCAGCCGTGAATTCCCACATGAGTTGGGTTCGTATATAGCCTAAGCACAACACGTATATCCCCAAACAGGAATCCTGTCATTACCTTACACCGTATACACTAGTACAGTACGCGCCGCGGGTTGGAGTGCCTCACGGCGCATGCTCGCAATGGAAACAAGAAAAAGTTCCAGGATCGGCATAAGGCGAAGTGACCAATCAGCGAGCGCGACAGTAACGGCGTGTGTGCCCGTCTCGTGTGTGGGTTGCTATGCTTTCATGTAGCCGCCATTACGGACCCGCTGCATTCCCTGGAGGAATGCCCCACCGCGATTCCTATGAACTTTAAATTAGATTTGTTGTTATGCATCGGCCCGAGGCGCCTATCCGATACAGTACTGAACCGGTGTACATCACACAAAATATACACACATCGTGAAAACTTTTTTCTTTTTTTCCCTTCAAGATAAAAAGAAAAAAGTGTTTCCGAAATCCCCAAGCGAATGATGATAGATCTGGTAAGCTGGAATATAGACAAGGAAAACGTGTCTAGCTCCCGACCCGCGTAGCGGCGCAGCAACACCGGAAGGAACGGGGAACCGTGCGCAGGTTATTCATTTAGTGGGCAGAGGAGCCAGACTCCCCCGAGTTGGTGCTGGCAGGTTTTTTGGATTTCCAAATTCGGTCTTGGCACAATGTGAACCGGGGTTGCACTTTAGGTTTTTACCCTAGGGACCCCTGGGTGTGAGCTGAGCTAAAGACGGCAACATTGTGATGACTTACAATTCAACTGTGCTGGACATGAAATTCGTCAAAAAAAGAGGCAACAGTCCTCACATTGCTTTTCCTTGTTTCGAAGTCAAAATTCCTATAATAAAAATTCCTAAATAAAAACTGTTTCACTTGTTGCAAAGGGAGTAATGTGCTGTGCCTGTGACGAGTTATCAAAATGATGCATTCAGGATACAAAACCTTTAAAATTAGAAAGCAACATTAAGACTGCACCATCAATTCTAGATTCTGGCTTTGATTTGTTTTAGGATTTATAGTTTTTGATTTATTTTACCCTCAATGCTATATTTGATTCAATGGCCATCTTCCCGCAATTTTGTTTTGTGCGTCTTCCTTTCGGTTACAAAATGAGTTATTTGTACCGAAAATTAATATATCAATATTCATGATAAGTGAAAATGCAACATTGTAAGACGGAACAACGGACTCATTCTTAATTTGTGTTAGATATTAAGCAGTCAATGAAGTCTAAAGATAATGTTATATGTCACTAACCATTTTTTTTTTCAGAACAAAAGCCAACCAGGCCCAGTCTCCAGTGGCCGACCGATAACCTTGATTGATCAGAGAACGGTGGCCATCACAACCGTCAAGTTCAACGAGCAATCAAATCCGATCGTGCTGTCCGCATAACAAGTCGTCAACGTACACGGTCCATGATCCATTTGTATCCCAGGCTGAGTGAACCAGCCGCGAGGCGCGGCGGGGGAGCCGAGGTCCGCGTAATTGAATTCATTAGAAAATAACACCCAGCGATCAGGCTGAATAAGAGTCTAATAAATCCAATAAGCATTGAGGGCTGGCCTTCTCTCTCTTTTTTTTTCTCTCTCTCTCTCTCTCTTCTGATTTGAGAGAAACAGTTGAGTGTTGGGAAGTAAAAAACTGGTAGCAAAGTTGGAGTATACAGGGTGAGTCAAAAATAGCGAAACCCAAATGTCGGGACTATTGTTTTAGTGAAGTTCTGCATGTAGCACTTTCAAAATCTAGGATATGAAAGCCCAATTCATAAGCTATCTTTTCGTACAAGAAACATTCAAATCACTCATGTACCTTTCAAGTTATGGAATTTTAAACACAACCACCGTTTTAAAGTTCTGTCCACGGATCACAAAAAAAGGTGTGCGTTCTATCAGTAACACGAAAAAAAATTCACACACATCCGTATGTGAGTATGTGGTTTGTTTTGCTAAAAGAACACTTACCTTCTTGTGATCTGTGGACAGAACTTTAAAACGGTGGTTATGTTTAAAATTCCGTAACTTAAAAAGTACATAAGTGATTTAAATGAATCTTGTACTAAAAGAAAGCTTATGAATTAGGCTTTCATATTCCAGATTTTAAAAGTGCTACATGCAGAACTTCACTAAAACAATGGTCCCGACATTTTTTTTTTTTTACTCACCCTGCATATCACTTTGCGTATACTGCACCGATACTTCATCGGGTTAAAGGAAATGCCAATCGTTTACGTTTCTAAACGTGTCTGATTGGTATATGGGTTTAAATAATGGTGTTATCACACTATCAAGATAACAGACTTTATTGAAAGAATAGATACGTTTGTCAAGACAATTGACGAAGCATTTGAGTTGTAAACTCGAATCGCAAAAACACCTCTTAACCGGAATATGTGTGACAAACACAATAATTATCATCAATCGACAGCTTATTTGATTAAGATTGGGATCGATTATCAACTGAGAGGATAATACTTAAGGCCTTTCACCATTTCTTTAAAATGTGCCACCACCAGAAAAATGGTAGGAAAATATTCACGATTATCTTTCCCCCTCGGGATTTATCAAACCACGTCCATTTTGTCCTCAATAAGATGAAGTGAAATTATACTTTCGATTTTAAAACAGCTTCATTATATATCATTCCAATGTCTAAGGTTTCGCAAAATATTGGATTAAGAAAAATGCAGAATCTTTGGGCGCTTGATGAGAAAAGAAATCATGTCGGAAAATGTGCAGAGCGTTTATCTGTCAAGGAAAGGTTGCACCACTGGATTCAGGGTTTGTTTTAGCACATTTTACTTGCGCATTCTGCCATGCATTTCCCCATCCCTAGGTCTTTAAAGCATTGGTCGAACGGTTTCAGCATCTGCTTGCTTGGAGTGAGTTTCACGAACTTGTTTTTGGTCAAAATCTGCCTCTATAGACAAGTCACATTTCTTATCCAAAGCAAATGTGACCTACTGAGGCTAACTGAGGAATGTCTCCCAAAACCAGGTTTTGAGGTTTTGGTGGGGCGCTGTGGTCCAATGGTTACGGTGTTCGACTCGTGTGCCGTGGTGCATGGGTTCGAATCCTGACCGTGGGAACATGGGCGCTTGTGCTCTTGAGCAAGGCACTTTACCACTATTGCTTCGTCCTTCGGATGGGACGTAAAGCCGTAGGTCCCGTGTGTTGTGTAATGCACGTTAAAGAACCCAGTAACACTTATCGCCAAGTTTTGCCCTGGTGTTTCTGGCTGTGGCTGCAATGTGCGCCGCAGCACCTTGTAAACCATTATAAGGTGCTACATAATGGGTCTCATATTTCTCATAAACTTAATTTACCTTTATTTGCGCCAGGAGTGTCATATTGACAGATATGGCGCGGTATAAATGTTCACTATAATTTTTATCATTATTATTGAGGCATCGACGCCTGAAAGCTGGATATAAGTGAAAAAAAAAAATCATGTCTAAATGAATTTTAGGATTTTTGAATTTTTGAGTATCCAAGGTTATCCTAGATTCACAATATGCCTTTTGGTTGTGAACAAAATCTCCCCAAAAGTGGACAAACTGACAATTTCTGACGCGCGTTTGTGTGAAAATTTCCATTAATAGACTTTACATCCACACCTCCACTAAACGCAACAAAGTATATTGACACTATTTGTGCAGCACTATTTCTGGACTGTATGGAGTCGCCAGACGATTTAAGTTAGAGTCGAGCGCGCTAAAACGAAATGCCATATTCTCTCGGCTTTTCTTGGTGGAAGATTTACGGCCGCGGTAGAAAAACACTTGTGTAGCTTACCATCTTGCGATGATTGGGTATTAATATGGTGACAGTGTGGTATAACTATTAAAATCGGTTACCCTGTGACCTCAAATGGGTTTCGACCAGAGCGTTTTATACACTCTTTTTTTTAACAGGGGAAAACTTTTTTTAAGGTTCTGCAAGCGGCCGTGTTTCGCGAGAGAGCTGGTATTGTCGTTTCGGTCGGGTCGGACCGCAGTCGGCGTGTTGGCCCTACCCATCACGAGGCCAGGGACGAAGTACCGTCGGGTGATGTCATCAAGATTTTTTTTTCTTCGAAGCGTGAGAACGAGCATCTAATCCGGGCCAAACATTGCAGAAAAGAGAAAAACTCTGGGAAAAAAAAGGAAAGATAGAAAGGAAACTCAGGTTACATGTCCAACGTACATGTATAGCTGACAACACGTAAAACATTTGGCGGGCGAAGCATTACTGACAATATGTATTGACCATTAAAATAGATTATAATGACCTCATGTAGTGACAACCAATACATTTTTTTGTACTGTTTCGTGCCTGATTAATATCTCGAATTGGCTGTTTGTGATAAGGTCTTACGCAAACCAAAATCCATAAACAAAAACAGTTCGTGTACATTGACAACAGTTCTGTCGAATCTGCCTATATTCTTCTTTTTAAGTCGAAAGGAATTATTAAGAGAATAAATGTGTGCTTGGCCGGTCTTAAACACTATGTTTAAGACCGGTTGGAGTCTGGATACTGATAATTACCCGAGCCGCAGAACGTAGCTGTGCCGGTGTGTTGTGAATTTAGGACTATGAAATGATGACTACTCACTGGTAGTATTGCGTATGCCTACGTGAGGTTTGTTACCGTTCAACCGATAAAACGGTAAAAATGCACCGGATTTCATGGGAGTCCAAATTTCACGTGACACTGGAAACAAAGTGTTTAAGACCAGCTAGCCGGTCTTTATCATCCGTTTAAAACCGGCCACGTGACGGGCCTCGACCAATAGGAATGGCTAAACTGTTGTAAGTGTTTATGAATATTGATAAAAGGTAAAATGTGGCTCGCGAAATGTATCCATCCACCAAATTTAATCCGGAAACCATTCTCAAGAATAATACAAAAAAAATCTTGTTGCCTTTTTTTTCTTGGCACTTTTTCCCCTGCTTACCATTTTGGGAACCCAGAAGATCAAACTGTTCTCTCTGAATGAGAGGAGGAAAGGGGGAGGGGGGGGGGGATATCCCGCCCTAAAAGACCTAACGGCTGGTTCAAAGTTCTCTCGACTGGAGAAAT